CGTGGATAGAGACGACTGGAGTACGATGAACCTGACCTGAGACTGAGGTAGGTCAAACGTCATCGATCGGTCACCTGAAAATCGGCCGTAGTGATTATCCCAGTGCGTAAATACGACCTAAGCGACTAACTGGAACACAAGGGGGTCAACAACCCATACGGATATTGCTGACGAGGATAAGAGGAAAGCGNAAACAAATGTACACGAGAAAGCACAGTTTTGTGGGTTAGGGGGGGGGGGGCACGGATTGTCGTCTGGTTACTGAGAAGTTTCCAGGATCTGGATAAGATGATGAACACATAGGGAGGCGCGGGGAGAGTATGAAAGGCCGGGTGAAATCTACAAATCACGATGTAGTGACTGCAGCTGTTTTTCGACATGAAAAACGCAGTCAATCTATATCACACTACAAAGTTAGACGAGAAAGAGTTGCCGAGCACAAACACCGGGTGAATGGAAGCGCAATTTCGCACTGTACGGAGTCAAACTGCCACCACCGGGGCAACGGCTGCTTCGGAGGATAGCAAATGCGATTGTTCCGGCTTTGCCTGACTCAATAACGGATCACGAACCAGATTTGCCGCAGAAGGTCGTTTCTCGGGATTCGGATCAAGCATACGCTTGATGAATAAACTCTGCACGGAAACAGATCGGGAAATAAAACAGCACATTCGAATCAAAATTGGACGGAAGCGAGAGGCCTGATGAAGGTCTCTCGAAGTGTAACGGAACATAACACTTGGATGAAGTCGAGGACAGTTATACTATAGACAGACGATTTGTACTGTTACGACTCCATAAGACCTTAGTGCAGGTACATACGAGGAGTTATTTAATAGGAATAACGGCAAGGGTACCGGTAAACTGGCAACAAAATGTCTCATTTGGAACAGGTCTTTGGGATTCTCACCAGTTTGGATCAGGTGTGAGTGTGCATCTATCCACAAGGCGGAACTAGACAGTGCTTGTTACAATGTGCGTAAGAAAAACTGGGACAAACTCCGGCTGGTAGTGAACATGAAAAATAGTCAATCATTTCAAAGGTCATGATAACGCTAGTCTGGGCTATCAGATCAAACTGCGTGCACTAAACCACTTATCCCGGTTGATCACAGGTCCTGATTTTGCACAACGTGATGGTGATGTGCAGCTTGACTGATGAACTCAAGCAATGAGGAAACCATCGAACTGGGATCAAGCCTAATTTCCCTAGGACCAATGACTGACAGCGACTAGCAGAGTGGAATAAATACGGGCAACTACACAACTTTCTTGTGTAACATGCAAGGGACAGAAATACGCCTACCAAATCGGTAAACCGAGTGTGCTCGATCGGCACAAACTACGATCATTGGTATTCGCATGGTACGAAATCGGAATCGGGTGCAAAAGGATCACATAGGTTAGTCTGAAAGATAAGAAAAATTAGTTATCTATTAGGATGAGACGTGTTCAGCTTCGGTTTAAACAATTATAAGCCATGAAATTTCGTGCGCCGGTTTTGGTTACTGTCTTTTGGCTGCTGATTTGGATGAAGCAGTAGGTGAAAGACAGGAAAGTTGAAAATAGAGTCAAAGAGAAAGTGAAGAACTCCAGTAGATTAATGTTGCAAAGAAAGTGAGAAGATGCACGAACGCCACTATTTACGACACTCAATGTCTCTTACTATTGATGACAATGATATCATGGTCCCCATCCACGGGGCATAACGGGATCTATGTAACCCAGTGTCCTGCTTAGGGTTTTCATACTCTCGTACCAGGCCATAGCTTGACCGCCCTTGACTTTCTTCCACCCACTACCTACCTCGGCGAATATCACTCACCGTGACAACCTATCTGGTGACATGCGTAAAAGATGCCCCAACTAACCTAATCTATGGAAGTCGACCACTTGCTCCAGTAAGTGACCGCGGATACCAAAACTCTGCGCCTAACCTCAGCAACACCTGTCCAGTTACCCCACCACATTCGTGCAATGCTGCGTAGACAGTGGTATTCAAACACCGACAGTCTATCTTTATTCTGTTTCCTTAATGGTCAAGTTTCTGAGCCGTATAGCCGAACTGGCCGAAATGCCCCAGCATGTAGTCGACCCTTCACAGATAGCCGGATTTCGCGCCAGCGCCACAGATGTCTCAAGCTGGCAAATGCCAACCGAGCCTCCTGTATGCGAGCTAGCACATCCGTGATACGTCCACTGGGTGCCCAAATAAGAAAACTTATCCACTTGCTCTATTACTTCCCCCAGTTAGACTGGGTCTGGGTGCTGAACCAACCCGGTCTTGGAGTAATATTTTACACCGTGAAGGTGCAAAACGGATACCGAACATAGCTACGCTGGCGATCAAGCTATCCAGAAAAGCATGTACTTGCCTTGATCGTCACTTAGCAGTACACTGTTGTCTGCACACTCCAGACTAGACAGTCTGCCATTTGGGAGCAAATAGATGCCATTGTCCTCGCACGAGGATACAACTGTTACCATAATCAAATCTATAACAAAGTTAAACAGAAAAGGAGAGAGAGAGAGAGAGAGAGAGAGAGAGAGTAACCCTGACGAACAGCACTTTCGTGGTGAACTCGGGTGAAAAAGTGCAGTAAGAAAGGACTCCGGATGAGATGTGCACACAACATCAATCACCTAGATCAACAATTACTAGGTTCCACTAATCGAGTGATTAGAGACACTGTTTTACACAGCAGAGAAAGTGATTTAAAATAAATTCCCTTAATTTAGTCAGATTTGGAATGCCAATGACTGACAGAAATTCATAGTAACACGTGCGAGCATACCATACGCTGAGCATGCTATACAGGCCTGGAATCCATGGCTGATTCGCGACCAAAAGGCACTAAAACGTCCGCAGAGAATAGCAACCAAAATGGTCAAAGGGTTACAAAAAAACTGCGAATTCTCGGACTCTGTTCATCTGAATACTGTCGATTACGGGGAGACATGATCCTCGTTTATCAAATACTACATCAAACTAACCACCCGTGTAATAGTGACGCTATCCAGGAATGGTCACCTTCTGTTCTAAAAGAGCCGGCTCGACTGCAGGCGTCATTCTTTCTGCCTCAGAGTTTGTAACACCTGGAACTCCCTTCCACCTCAAGTCGTTGGTGCACCAACCGTCGATTCATTCAAATCGCGACTAGATGAAGCATTGAACCACCTAACTTTTCAGCACCCGTGAGTGAATGTCAGAATCTGCTATTCATTTGTACTACCAACCGAACCCAGTGTGTGTACAGATCTTATGGGATTCAATAAGCATCAGATTTGTAATTTACCCATAATACAAATTTGAATTTCAAATGGGCGGCATGCCGTCAAAAGAGATTATATTGGTCATATCATGCGGAGGCAAAGTGAACTTTTTTTAACTAGCATTCATGTAATACCGCTGAACTACCAAAATCGATCTGGATCTTGGTCGAACGACGGCTACCGTTCATGTTGACGTACAACTAATTTGAAAGGGAAGTTGGCATTTATCAATTTGCTTCCCTTATTCTGCTTGAAACATAAGTTTTACGACTTACACCGAGAGCATAAGTAAAGAATATACCATTAAAATGCACAGAACACAGAAAAAAGTAGTTCTGTTATCATTCGCTGCCGGAGGTGGTCAAGGTCATCGGTTTATCACACCAGAAATCGTGTGGTTAAACCAAGTCACCAACACCGCCAAGCGTTCAACTTTTTTTTGTATCACGTGACAGCACGGTGAATGTAAAATTCTTCTTCCCGAATAACAACTGATCGATCTATTTGAATATGTATGAGTTTATGCTTTCAGTTTAAACGCAATGGCTATGTCGGACAGAGATGTTCGGAACAGAATTGCTCGTATCCAATAGAAACAACACTGGAAAAACGATTGTTTTTTTTTTACAATGTACCATTTCTTACACCTTGGTCTTCATCTTTGACCAGCTATTGCAAAAACCGTAACAAAGTCACTCACAATGGCCCGTGTATATGCGCGCGTGTTTTGTATGTGGATCAAGGCCAGATAACTAGCCAATGACAAATCCCAAATGTTCTCATTGCGACAGCAATCACGTGACCGTAGGCATAGCAACAAACGGAACCGTTTTGTGCAGGCAAAAAAAGCGCAAGTGGAGCAATCCACCAGGGCAAAACAGATTGTGTTTTTCCACGGTTGCCTGTTATATTCAGCCGATCATATATGGTAATTCCGCTACACCAGTTACGTTATGTCTGATAATGGCCGCTCGAAGATGACTCAGTCAATTAGCTGCACGAAAGAGTGACTGACAGGTGAGCTGATTATGGACGTATCGGTGCATTACACTCACCAACGACATCAGTTCCTCCAGTGTTGACTGTCAAAATGGGGGCAGCTAGCCGTGAAGGGTGGGGCAGCGATTTGAACAGTGAAAGTGAGGAAGATAATCAGTGTGCTCCGACTTGATGCAGTCTTCGTGCAATCCCAAACAAATCCACTAATTGTGTTCTAGTTGATAACCCCACAATGTTAATGATACCTCAGCAGTCACTAGTCACCTGTTGGAACGGGTCAAAAACCACGCCCTTCCATTCGGAAGGTTTCTTCGTAATCAAACAAAATCGTCCTTTGAGTGAGTAGTTACCCAGTGAGAATAAAGAGTCTAGAGGGGCGCGGTCTGACTGTCTGTCACCCCATTCCGCGTTGGTCGAGTGAGCCTTCGACAAGAATGAACGAAAGTGGCAATGACTGACCCCCATTGATGGGGAAAAAAGATTGACGACAAGGAGAATCGGTAAACCGGTGTCGATCGCCCAGACGAGAACATGGATGAGTGGGACCAGCCTAGGCCCGCAAAGAACTTTGACTGGAACAAGTCTTAATTTTACTAAGTTTGAACAGATTACTATTCCACAGGAGGGCACATTTTCGGCTGGGAGATATCTTCCTGCAACCATCCACAAACGGAATTGGGGTAACTCTACGGTCCCAAGGTAATCAATGTCATGGACATTCCGATGTCCTCAATTATTAACCTTTCTGATTCATAGCTCCCGACCGCAATAAACTAGCCAATAATGACACAACAGTCAGTCAGATCAGTTCTTATCGAGAATGTGCACTGTCGGTCTTTCTCCCGTTCGTTGCGTTTTCAAAAAAACGGAGAAGTTTACAATCACAGGGCTGTCGCGTGATACAGAACGAAGTGAAACGCTTGGTGATGTTGGTGTCTTGGTTTAAACACACCAATTTCGGGTGTGATAAACCGGTGACCTTGACCACCAGTGAGGATGGAATAAATGTGTGGGGTGAAACCGAAACTGATTGACGTTCGGTAATTGGATACCGAAGTGACACTA